CTTTCGTTCAGCAACTGTTTCCATTGAATGCCAACTGTTGTTTGCAGAGCTTTTATATAGATGTGCTATTCCGAGTACAATAATTCTCCGGAGAGCTTATTGATCCAATTGTTTGATAGCTTCTTGTTCGTTTTGTTATGGTTCATGTCTTGATAAAGTTAAATCCAAAGTCTCCAACGAAGTTCTTGATGGCTTGACATCTGGGGAATTCATTATGATATGGTGAAGGATCGCCAGTGTTGCACAATTGTATAAAATGGGGGTTAATTATATTGTTATGAGTCGTGTTTATACTACAAAGTTGGGGTATTTGGGAAAATGAAAGAATAAAAATGTGGTTTTCGTATTCTTTTAAATAGGATTTGATGAAGACAATTTTCAAAAAGTAAAACGCAAAATAACGCCGACTTTCAATTCTGTTCTCACTTTTTTTCGCCAGATGGTTTTTCTCAATGTTATATTCCTAATAAATGTGCCGAAATATAGAGTGGGTATTTGACAGTCTTGGCGGTATTACACCATTTTGAACTTGAATTAGTCTATATTAAGTGTTAACAAATTTTATGTCGTCTTTTTTCATTTGAATAAACATTGCTCTATGTTCCTGATTCAATGCGGATGGATTTGGTGACATTGTGTTGTGATAGGTGCGACGTGTACCGATATCTATTGTTTAATTTCACTTTTTCAATTCTGTGAGCACACGTACACTTTATAAGATGCATTTAAATATTGTTCAGAAAAACTTTTTTGGTTTTGGGTAATGGAGGAATTATAGCAATCCGAAAGTGAATCCATCACGACAACTGTAAAAGTTTTGAACGAAAAGGGGTTCTTTTCTATAAAATTTATATCAAACCCAAATGGGCAGACAATTCGGGTAATCTCCCTAATAATAATCGTAAAATAATCGGTATAATTAGACTTGTAATGATTTACACAAAACAAAATGATGTATAAGTATTATTGGTATATAAAACTGTATATATTAATACATGATGTGGATTTGAATAAAGAAGTTCAAAAGATAAGCGAAAAAACAGTAAGTTATAGCATATTGCAATTGAATGTCAGCACTATATGAAGCTCCGATTCGGGAATTATGAAAAAATAACAAATAAAGGTTAGCAAAATCGCCAAAAAAGACTTTTTCGAAATCTTACGATACATTATTAAAATATAGTGGGGAAATTAGGCTTTTATTTTTTGTGTTTTGCAAAAACGGCTTTTGGTTTGCTCAGACAACTAAAAACAGAAATAAAAATAGACGATGTCAAATATCTCTCAAAATTGTCTTTATTCTTAGACATAATGATATATTTACTTCATTAAAATTGTAGCTATGGCGTTTTTAAGACAAAATAAAAATCGGTTTGATAAAACACCTTGCACAAAGGTTCAGATGTGTACTTTTGTTCAGTTCTGTCATTTGACCGAAATTAAAAAATAGTACGAAAAATAAACAATGAGGTTTATCAATTTGAATAAAGGTGCAATTAAAAAAAAACAAAAAAATACTCAAATTGTTTTTTAAAAAATGGCAAGGGAATAAAAGGGGACCTACATTGACCACCACCTTTACCAAAAAAAAATATTTGCCGCGAGTGTTTTTTGAAGGAAGTCCATTTTTCAGCCACTGTTTGTGCGTCCCCATGTCACCCACTTTCCTTGTCCGTACTGTGTGGACGCGGATGTGGTTCCCCCCCCCCCCGCTTGCAGGGGGGTCAGAGGGATCCGCGCCAAGGGAGGACTTGGAAAGTGGGTGAAACGGTGCACAAACAGACTGTTTGAGTGCGGCCTTTAGAGCCTTCTTTTCAATGCTCCGTCTCACTCGGTTTCCACTAAATCAAGGTGAATTTTCGGCATTTCCTGAATTCAGGAACCAGACCTAATATTATCCCAGTTCCCTATTTACTATAATTTTAATTTGAATATGATTCGAAATAGAAAAAATAAATCTATTTTAAGAGGTGGTGGTGGTCAATGTAGGTCCCGAATAAAAGTGCAGTCATAAAATATAATGTATTATAAATATATTATAAAATTTGAATGATTCATACATGTAAATAAAGTTTAATATAATTATTATAAAATCATATGTACAATCATTATAGTCTTTGTTTGTTTAACTTACAGTTTCTCTTGTCTTTGTAACTTTTAACCCTTGTAAGCTTGGTATGCATGACTAAGTAATGCATTTTTTACAACACAAACGTGTAAATTTTAAATATAAATATGTGACAATTCAATTAATAATAACATTAAAAAATATTTGTTATGGTAAAAATATCATATTTTAATTAATATGTATTTGATTATTTTCCAAACAGAAATGCATTTTTAAGTAAAATAATATTTTTACATTTTAAAAACATAATTATTTTTAATAACTATGTAAATTATACTTATCTTTTTTAATCGTGGATATCATAAACATAAATTGCTGGTTACACGACAAAAATGAATATAAATTAGAATGTTTTTAGTAATTAATCTAAAAACATCAGTTTTCAACTAAAAAACTTGACAATGAATTACGAGGGGATGACTGAAGAAACTATAAACAATTTTATTTCAAATCAAAGCGGTGATGGTTATTATTATGTTTCATCAGTCAATGCATTTCTTCTAAAGATGAACCATGGTGGACAAAATTTGACATCGATTATCAAAAATAATATTTTGAGTTTTAGGCTTACTTTTATTCCTATTTTACAATATACACATTTTGTTTTAGCTGTTGTTGACAGTCAAGAAAAAATAGGCATAATATTTAACCCATTGGAAAATTATCACGACATTGATTATGTGTAATATTTAAAAGAATATATTTAATACT